GGTGCAGGCGGTGAAGGCGGAGGACGTGGGGACCGCGCAGAGGCTGCTGCAGAGGCCGCGGCCCGGGAAGGCCAGTGAGTGCGGGGGGCGCGGGCGGGCGGGGGCCACCTCGGGCGCCGGCCCCCCACCCCTCCCGGCGCGGGGGATGCTGTCGGGTCCCCGGGGGCGGGGCGGGGCCAGCGGCGCCCAGACCCTCGGTCCGCACCCCCGCCTCCGGCCCGTCCCCCAGCCCCCCCCCCCAACCAGCCGGCACCTGGCCGCAGGCGTCCCCCTCCCTTCCCGGGCTACGGGCTGACAGCTGGAGGGCTTTGCTGGGCCGTCAAAGGGCGAGGCAGATGCCACCCCCCCCCCGCCCCGCTTCCCCACCGTGGAGGGAGGGAGGGGGCCCTGGCGGTGAGGGGCCACCACAGGACTGACAGTCCCTGTCAGACCCCCTCCCCGCCCCATGTTTAATAACACGCTTTGCAGGGAATGGGGGGCAGGACCATGTTGGGGGTGTGGCTGCCCAGGCATGGCCGGCTGGGGGCCATTTACTCATGCGGGAGCAGAGGCCCAAGGTCGCCCAGCCCAGGGCAAGCCTGTGCTCCAGGCAGGTGCAGACCCTGCCGCAGACCCTGGTCCTCTCTGGCTTCCCTGCTGGGCAAGGGGCTGGGCAGTGGGGGGAGGGGGCTCCCAGTGGCCATCCTGAGCTTGCGCTGTGAGGGCCCCTGGGAAAGGTTGGGAGCTTGGAGTCCTGATCCCAGCACTCATCCCAGCTCAGCCCAGAGCCTCCCCGGGGGCCACCGGAGATGGATGGATGGGTGTGTGGACCAGCTGGGTGTGCGGCTGCGCACGTATGGCCATGTCAGTGTGTCAGGGCACCTGTGCGGGCGCGGGCAGGACTCTGCAGGGTGGCACGTGTGGTCTGGGTGCCTCACTCTCCCCTCGCCCGCCCGCCCCCCCCCCCCCCCGGGGACTGTAGGTAACCCAGGGCACATATATACAGGCTGGCTCTGTCTTGTGCTCTCCAGGCCCGGGGATGGTCTGCTAGTTGGGGTCAGCTTCACGGCCTCAGGGCTCAGAAGGGGAGGGCTTCTAGGCCGAGGCAGCCTTAGCCGAGCCTTGAAAGCAGGTGGAGGGATTGAAAGGGAGGGAAGGCAAGGTAAAGGTTTCCACCTAGTGGTCACGCGACCTTGGGAACCGAGGACTCGGGCTCTCCAGTCCTCAGTCTCCTCATCTGTAGGATGGGGGCGGTTTTGGTGCCTGCCTCACAGAAGAGCACGCACGAAGAACAGGTACTTCATACGTGCTCGGGAAGTGCTGCGACTGTCTCCTTAGGCAGCCCCAGACGGGCTTCAGGGGAAGCCGGGGCATCAGATTGGGCCGTCCAGGGAAGGTGTGGGGACTTGTACCTGGATCTTCGCATTTGTCCCTGCATGGTCTGCTTTCTGGGAGAGACACCTGCCCTGGGCCCCGTATCTGGGCTCTCTGACTCACAGGGGCGGGCGTAATAAATCAGACAGAGAAATCCCTCCGTGAATTAGCTCGGTTGGCATGGCAACGCTGGCCTGCTTTGGAGTAAGATGTATTTTGATTCAGCAAAGTACAGGCTGGAGTTGGGGCCGTGGGGTGGGGGGCATCCAGCGGTGCTCTCTCGGACCCCCGGACTCCGGACGTCTTCCCTGGATAGTTGTTTCTGTGGCCTCCACCCACTTCTGGTACCTTCCCTCCACCCCAAGCCCTGAGTGTTGCCCCAGGGTCTGCCTCCAAGCAGGCCTCCTCTCACACGCTCAGGCACCGGGACCCTCAGCGGCTGTCCTTGAGGGGAAGGAGACGCTGCTCCGGAGGGAGAATGCCAGGGTGGGGCTGGCCTTGTGCCCTTTCTTCTGGCCCCACCTCCCCTTCCCCGAATTCACCGCGCGCCACAGACCAACATGCCTGTTTCGTCTCACCTTGGCCCGCTGATACTTTCCTTGCGGTATCCGGCCAGAGCTCCCTGCCTGGGGTGGGGGGCAGGGGGGAGACCACCTGGCCCTGCCTGGCCCGGGGAGGTGCGAGAGCGCCTTGCCCTGTGCTGGCGTCAGAGGCCAGGACTGCATCCCTAGAGGGGACAGATGTGGCTCTGTGGGGCTGGCAGACAAGTGGCTTCTGTGGTTGGAGGAGCATCTGGGCAGGGCTGGAGGGAGGCCACAAAGGCAGCGTGCGAGAGGGGCTGAGACCCCACCCCCACCCCCTGCCTGGGCCTCTGCAGTTTGGAGTCTGGGGCCCACCTCAAGGGCAGGGACGGTCCCAGGAAAGTGGTGAGAGGACTGGGTGACCAGAGCTGGGAGAGCCCAAGACATGGGGCAGGTTGGGGACGAAGTTTATGTACATCGGCCACGTGGAGGCTGCAGGACTTGGGCCCTTGTGGACCAGAGAAGGGGGACCTCTGCGTCCCCCCCTGCCCCCTTCTCCCCTGCCTCTCAGGCCCCTCCAGCCGTGCCTGCTCCAGCGTCACACAGAGCGCCTGTCTCTGTGAACTGCGCCTCCCCAACCCCAGGCAGGCTTCGGTTGTGTGACTTCCCTGTGAGCCCGGGGCCCACCACAGGAATCGGGGGTGCTCCAAGATCCCGGGCTCCCCTCCACCAATTCCAGCTACTTTCCCCTCTGAGGAGACCTGCAGCGAGGAGGGGGTGACGGGACCTCAGCGGGATTCCCCCCTCGTGTAAGGAGTGGTCTTCCTGATGGGGACTGCCCTTCCCCACTGGTGTCTATGCTCCTTCTGGGGCCTTGACCTCCAGCCCCTCTAAAATTTCAATGCTTGCAGGTGTGGCCAGGTGAGAGGGGTGGGGAGACCTGGCTACCTTGGAATTAACGAGAAGGGGGAGCAAACATCAGAGCTGGGCAGAGTGTTCTAGAAGAGAACATCCTGAGCATGGCCCCCAGGGGGCAGGTGCTACGGGACAGCAATGTTGGGGATCCAGGGTATCTGTTCCGGCACCAATTTACCTAGCATCTCATATGGGCCCCGCACTGTTTCTGCCACCCAGGATACGGCATTGAGCACAATAGATAAAAACCCCATCCTTCTGGATCGTATTGTTTAGTGATGGAGACAGACAACAATCATTAGGCGGTATTGATAGGGGCCAGAGACAGAAACACAACAGATAGGGACAGGAAGGGGGTTGCCATTCTAGATGGGGAGCCCGGTGGGGCTTCTCCAAGCAGGTGACATTTGGATAAAGTCCTGAATGACATAAGGGAGAGAGTCATGGGGATAAATGGGGGGAAAGCAGCCCCCCTCCACCATATACACAGTGTGTGCAAAGGCCCTGTGGCAGGGGCCGCCAGTGTGCTGTAGCACCATCACTGAGGCTTGTGTGGCTGGAAGAGGGCTGATGAGAAAGTCAAAGTGAAGCAGGAGGGCCATGTCCTGTGAGCCATTGGCCAGCATTGGTCTTCGCCCCCAGTGACACAGGAGCTGTTGGAGGGTTTCAGGAGAGGAGTGATGGGATGTGACAGGTTCTAACAGGGTCCCCCTGACCTCAGTGGTACAGAGGACAGACTGAGGGGCAGGGTACAAGTGGGGATGCCAGTGGAGAGGTGATGGCAGCGATCCTTTGAGAGATGCTGGCCTGGTCAGGGTGGTGACAGTGACCGTGGGGAGAATAATAGGACCCCGAGTGTATTCGGAGGTCGTCTTGAAGGTGGAGCCAAACAGGACTTGCTGATGGAGACACTATCGGGCGCTCAGGGCCGACTCCAAGGTTTTGGCCTGGACCACTGAGGGGAGGGTGGCTTTGCTGCCACCTTAGATGGACATCAGTGCCCCAAAGTGTGTGAGCAGGGCGGGAGTGGGGCAGCGGAGACGCCTCTTTCCCAGGAGCCTCTGCTCTGCTCTACTCTGTGCAGGAGAAACCCCTCGCTGGAGAGGTTGGGGGTGGGATTCCCACAGAGCTAAAACTAGTAATTGCCACTTATGGAGGCGACTCTCTGCCAGACCCTTCATGCTTTAAGGGTGGACGCACACTTAAGCCTATGAGGCTGGCCCCATTAGCTCCCTTTGAGCTCAAGGCCAGGGCTATAGGGCTAGTAAGGGCCCAGTGAGACTCTGAATTTGAGCCCTACTGACTCTGTGGGCTCTGTGGGCCCTCGAGGCTGAGAGCCAAGGCTGGGGCAGTGGGGGCTGCTGTGGGTCACCAAGCAGCTCCTGGAGCAGCCCCTCTGTGACTCGACTCCCTTGGCTTCCTGCTCTTGGGGGCCCCTGCCTCCATCCCTGTCCTGGGCCTGGACAAAGGGGCTTCTGTCCTGCCAGCCCCTCCCTCACAGAGCGACTGACCCACAAATGGGTTATGTAACCATGGCCCAGACAGGCAGGGGCTTGGCCTGAGTCCGGCTGGAACCGAGCCCACAGGGAGGGTTTCGGTGGGCTCCCCTCCTCTGACAGTCAGCTGGTGGAGGCCAGGACCTGGGTGGGGGGGGGGGGGCGCGGTTCGGGAGGAGACTAGGGACCCAAAGGGAGGGCTTGGGCCCCTCGGGCTTCAGGCAGACTGATCCCAGTGCCCCAGTGGGCCCTTGTAGATGTGGTGGCCATGCTTGTGTCGTCACTCAGGGGCACCAGGCCACCAGCCTGCCTCCCCTTCCTGCCTTGCCAGGTGGGACTCAACCACACGGGCAGGCCCAGGGCTGGGAATGGGGGGAGGCTGCACCCTGAAAATGCAGATCTTCCCCCAGAGATACCCCCATTTCCGGGTGTTCCAGCCTTCCCAGGCCACCCCCGGCCCCATCTGGGTCCTTTGGAGAAACAGATTGTGCCGGCTCTCTCCCTCCCTCCATCGGCAGGTGCTTAGCCAGCGTCCCAAGGGAGGGGGTACATGTGCACATGTGTGTGCCTGTGTGGGTGCACAGCTCTGGCTTCCTTCCCCCGGTGGGGACAGGCTTGGAGCCTTTGGCTCTGTGAACTTACCAACGCCTTAGTTCAGTCCAAAAGCTGGTACCTGGAGCTGAGTGCAGGGGACAGAGACGAAATGTTTTCCGGCTAAAGACTGAAGATAGCTTTGGCTCTGAGCCTGCCAGAGAGCTAGCCAGCACCCTCTGCCTGCTCTTAGGCTGCCTGGAGGGGCTGGGCAGAGCCCCCCTCACTGTCACTTTCCCGTCCCTAGAGCTCCTGGGCTCCACCAAGAAGATCAATGTCAACTTCCAGGACCCAGACGGGTGAGTTCTCAGCCAGGGAGATGCCCGGCTGGCAAGGGGTTCCAGGGGGGCTCCTGCGGAAGGCCGGGGTGCCCGGGTCCTTGCCTTTTCATGCCTGTCGCCCGCTGCAGCTTCTCGGCCCTGCACCACGCGGCCCTGAACGGCAACACAGAATTGATCACCCTGCTGCTGGAGGCCCAGGCTGCTGTGGACATCAAGGACAACAAAGGCAAGGCCTGATAGGGACCTCGGAGCCAGATCAGGGGGTCAAGGTCAGGGGTAGTGTCTCTAGAGACCTGAATGGTCCCATGATTGAGGTGTCAGTCCGGAGTCTCCATCTGGGTGGAAGCGGGATTCCATGGGATCAGTATCCTGCGGGCCTGGGTTGGGTCCAGGGTCAAGGGCTGGCTCCCAACGGGCCCCCTGCCCACTCCTAGGCATGCGGCCGCTGCACTATGCGGCCTGGCAGGGCCGGAAGGAGCCCATGAAGCTGGTGCTGAAGGCGGGCTCGGCGGTGAACATCCCGTCTGACGAGGGCCACATCCCTCTGCACCTGGCAGCCCAGCACGGTCACTATGATGTGGTAAGGGACGCCTCAGGGTGGGGGTGGGGAGGGCCCTGGCACGGGCGGTGCCAGCCCAGCGGCCGCCCTCGAGTCTGACTGCGCCCTGCGGCCCCACAGTCCGAAATGCTGCTACAGCACCAGTCCAATCCATGCATGGTGGACAACTCGGGGAAGACGCCCCTGGACCTGGCTTGTGAGTTCGGCCGCGTTGGGGTAAGTGTCCCCAGAGAGCCGGGTGGGACTCCATCTGCTCTGTCTTCCCTCCTGGGGTGGGGGAGGGGAGACACGCCTGCAGCCTCCCGCCCCATGTGCGGGCCCCCCTTCTCTGACCCCTCCTCAAGGTGGTCCAGCTGCTTCTAAATAGCAACATGTGCGCGGCCTTGCTGGAGCCCCGGCCGGGGGATACGACCGACCCCAACGGCACCAGCCCCCTGCATCTGGCAGCCAAGAACGGCCACATTGACATCATCAGGTATGGCCGAGTGCGGCTGGGGGGAGGGAGACCCGGCCGTGGGCTTCCTGCTCCCGGTTTAGCGACAGGAGCAGCCAGGGAGCCGAGGGGATGCCATCAGGCCTCCGCGTGCAAAGGATGCCTCCGGCCACCCACGTAAAGGATGCACTGGAGGGGTCTGGGGGGTGGCTTCTTCAGCCCCAAGCCCAGGTTGTGGCCCTGACACTTGCTGGGCGACCTCGTGGAGACACTTGACTTCTCCGAGACCCCGCCGTACGGGTTAGCACGAGGCCAGCACTTGCACCAGTGCTTGGTCACTGTCAGACCCCCTGTTGCCCGGGAGGCAGGGCAGGGCTGGCTCACCCTCAGGGCCTGCGACCTGGGGCCCCATGGGGGGATGGGACGGAGCTCCTGCCACGAGGCGCTGCCCACTCCCACCCGCCCACCCTCCTTCTAGACTCCTCCTCCAAGCTGGCATCGACATAAACCGCCAGACCAAGTCTGGCACGGCCCTGCATGAGGCCGCACTCTGCGGGAAGACAGAAGTGGTCCGGCTGCTGCTGGATGTGAGTCAGGGGGCCGGGGGAGCTGGGGCAGGTGGGGGCATGGGGGCTCCTGACGGGCCTCACTCTCTGGCACATACAGAATGGGATTAATGCCCACGTGAGGAACACCTACAGCCAGACGGCCCTGGACATTGTGCACCAGTTCACCACATCCCAAGCCAGCAAGGAGATCAAACAACTGCTTCGAGGTGGGACCAGGGCGGGGTTGGGGGGGGGGGTTGGGGATAATGGGGGGGGCAGGGCTGGGTCAGGCCAGCTCGAAGGACGGGGGGGGGGGGTCTGTCTCCTGTGTCCCCAGAGGCCTCGGCGGCCCTGCAGGTCCGGGCGACCAAGGATTACTGCAACAATTACGACCTGACCAGCCTCAACGTGAAAGCTGGGGACATCATCACAGTAAGGGCGGCCCGGGGCTGCGCGGGCAAGGGTGGGCGGGACCCCGGACGTGACGCCCATAACACCTTGTGCAGCAGTTGGGTGGTCTGGGGGCCACCCGCCCACTGGGCCTGTGGGGTGTCCCCCTGAGCCCGCCCCCCCCCCCCCCCCCCGCCTCATCTGGCAGGTCCTAGAGCAGCATCCGGATGGCCGGTGGAAGGGCTGTATCCATGACAACCGGACGGGCAACGACCGGGTGGGCTACTTCCCGTCGTCCCTGGGCGAGGCCATCGTGAAGCGAGCAGGCAAGTCCCACCCAGGCCTGGGCTTGGGGGCCCGGAGGAAGCCGGTGCACGTGTGTTGGGTGGCAGGGCCACTCCTAGGTGTGGGATCCAGAGTGGGGTCGTGCCGGCTCTCATCAGCACCCCCACACCTTTTCCTTCATTTATTTAATAGACATTGTGCACCAGCCACTAGGAATAGACGGTGACCCAGACGTCCAAGAATGATGGGCGTCATTCTTGCTCTCAAGGAGCTCACCTCTGGGAAGGGAGGGGAGCAGGGGCCAGTGGCGTAAATAGACGAACAGACGTGACGACTAATGCCATAGGGAACGTGGACGGAGACCTGCTTCTTAGGGTGCTCAGAGAAGCCCCTGAGAAATGGGAGGGGCTGGCCCCAGGCACAGCATCCTGACAGCAGGGCTCACATATGCAAAGGCACTGAGGCAGAGCAGAGCATAAGGGTCCCAGAGGAGGCCAGCATAGCATGGCTGGTGCAGAGTGAGTGAGAGGGTTGGGGGGCAAATCCACAGGGCATGGATTGTTTTCAGACGGGGACCACCGAGAGGGTTACCTCCTAGAGAGGATGAGGACATTGACAGGTGGGGTGAGGGTACGGTGTGTGTGTGTGGGGGGGGCAGTTAGGAGGCGTGGCCAGCCTGCCCAGTGTCATCTAGGCTTTTGGGGCCCTCTTCCCCCTCCCTGCTCCCCTGGCAGAGAGGAGGTACACCCTCTGCTCTCTCCACCCAGGACCACAGGGCCACTGGCAGGACTGCCTGGCCTGGGCCCTCTTGCCCCGTTCTCCTGCTCTCAAATGTATAGGGTGCGGAGGGGGTCTTCTGAGGTTCTCTCAGCTCCTTGGAGACAGCGAGGGCCAGACAGGCCAGGGACACCCCCCTCTCCATGTCAGGCCCCCGGACCCGGCTGGTCTGACATTCCAGGAGGCTGTTCCTGGTCCACAGGTTCTCGGGCAGGTACTGAACCAAGCCCATCCCAGGCAGGCAGCTCACCGGGGCCCTCTGCGCCCCCCGAGGAGATCTGGGTGCTGAGGAAGCCTTTTGCAGGTACGTGGGGGGGCCCCCCGGTGAGCAGGGCAGCGGAGCTTCCCAGGCAGCAGCCGGGCCGGCACCCACGGAGGGTGCTCCCTCGTGTTGGCAGGTGGGGACCGCAGCGGCAGCCTGGGCAGCGTGGCTGGTGGACGAGGCAGTGGGGGCCACACCCTGCATGCGGGCTCCGAAGGGGTCAAGGTAGGTGGTCTGGGGGCAGGGCCGGGGCCGCCTGGGTGCAGAGCGGCGCTGGCCAGCCATCCCGTCTGGGTTGCAGCTCCTGGCGACGGTCCTGTCGCAGAAGTCGGTCTCTGAGTCCAGCCCTGGGGACGGCCCCGCCAAGCCTCCAGAGGGCTCCACAGGTAAGAGCAAGGACGCGGCACTGCCAGCCTGGCGAGGAGGTGGCCCCCCGGGCGGCCCCGGCCCCACCACGCCCTCTTGTCTCCAGGTGCAGCCCGGTCCCAGCTCCCAGCGGCCCACGCAGGGCAGGTGTATGGGGAGCAGCCACCCAGGAAGCTGGAGCCAGCCTCGGAGGGCAAGGTACAGGGCCGGGGCTGGCAGCAGGGAGGGGCTCCCGGGCAGCCTGCGTGGTCTGGCCACGGCGTGGCGGGGGGCCCTTGACAGGCCAGGCCCGTACTTCTGTCCGTCTGTCAGTCTGTGTGTGTAGCTGTCATCTATTGCGTGGGTCATGTGTGTCAGCTAGTGCGTCCTGGCAGTGAGACGTGGGTGTGAGGTGAGCAGGGGACGTGCCTGCGTGCGGGTGGCAATGGTGAGCCGGGCACGTGTGCTTGTGTATGTGCGTGTAGAAGGCTGCGGGTGTGAGGCAAGACCAGGTGTGTGTGTGTGTGTGTGTGTGTGTGTGTGTGTGTGTGTGTGTGTGTGTGGCGGGGGGGTGAGCAGGGCCCCATGTGCTGAGAAGGTGCGAGCGGCTGGCTGTTTCCTCCCCCATGCCCCTGGACGGAGCCCACCCGCCAGGGAGTGTGGGGGCTGTGCTGAGGCGCCCCACCCGAGGCCCCGGTCCCGAGCCCCTTACACGGGGCTGCACCACAGGGTGTCCCTGGTGCAGGAACGGGGGGATGGTCAGGGAAGCCCATGACACGGACAGCAGCTGGACTCTTCTGGTGGAGACCACGGGAGGAGGCCAGGACACTGACGGAGCTCGCGACGGCGGCGTCGGGGAGCACACAGTGAGGAGCGGCACCGGTGCCAGGCCGCCCCAGGCCCGGCCACAGGGGGACCGGCGGACGGCAGACCGAGCGGCCGAGGCCTTCTGCTGAGCAGAGAAGGAGACAGCGCAGCGGCCGGGGTGCACGCACGCCCGGTGGGCGGGCAGGCGAGCGAGCCTGCAGCGGGTGCCTTGTGTCTTCCAGAGCGCCGAGGCCGTCGGCCAGTGGCTCGCCACGTTCCAGCTGCAACTCTATGCCCCCAATTTCATCAGCGCTGGCTACGACCTGCCCACCATCAGCCGCATGACCCCGGAGGTGGGCTGCCCAAAGGCTGGCCGCCGGTCACGACCGACATGGCCCCCCTGCCCCCAGCCTGCTGCTAACGGGCCTCTCCTCTACCTAGGACCTCACGGCCATCGGGGTCACCAAGCCAGGCCACCGGAAGAAGATCACCGCAGAGATCAGCGGCTTGAGCATTCCCGACTGGCTGCCTGAGCACAAACCCGTAAGGCTCCCTGCACCCCAGTGGCTGTGCCCAGGATGGTCAGACAGACAGACAGACTGCCTCCCTGGCTACAGCCCTCACCCGCCCTCCGGGGCTCCAGAGAGAGAAAAGAGGATGGCCTCTGTTTATCTGTCACGGGTGCTGGAGCCAGCCTTCTGGGGGCAGGGGTGACAGCCTCTGGGGTTCGTCAGGGCAAGGGGAGCCTGAAGCCGGGAGGGTGCCCCTTTCCAGTATGCACTCCCGCAAAGATCCCTCAACACCCGGGCAGCCACCCGGGCACCCGCCTGGCACCCCGCAGCACTGCCCACCGCATACCCACCCAGACGCTAGAGGCCCCCGTGCTGACGGATGCGTGTGCACCCAGACACGTGCGCGGGGAGGGTGTCCGCCTGCTTCGTGTGTACAGACAGCACGCGTGCACCAAATATAGCCAAGGCGCCCGCTGACGACTGCGTGCACACACCCACACATCGCACTGCACGCGCTGGCTGTGTGGATGGCGGACGCCCACACAGACCACGGTTCGTGCCGTGGCTGACCGTCAACCCGTGGTGTGACAGGTTCTGGGCCTGCGCAAGGCGGGCCCCAGGCCTGTGGAATCTACGCTGCTTCTCTGAGCCTCGGGCTGGGCTTGAGGAGAGATCCTGTGGCCACCCGGAGCCCCCAGGGCTGTGGGTCGGCGACTGGCGGGTTCATGCTCAGCGTGCTCCGTCGGCGGCTCGGGGGTGCTCCCAACGAGCAGGTCCCCGTCCCGCGGGCCTGCTTTGCTCTGTGCACCCAAGGGTGACCAAGTGTGCTGCGTGTTGGTGGGCGAGTGACATCCAGCTGGGAGTGTGCACAGGTGGACATGGTTCAGGGAGCCACCACGTGCTTCTGGGTAAAGAGCATCACGGGTAGTTCCACGCGTGCATGACGTGTGCCCAGTGAGGGTGTGGAAGTGGCGAGAGGGTGTGCGCGTGATGTGGAGAGTGTTGGTGCCCGCGTATGGCTGGGATGCACCGTGTGCGTACACGTGTCCGGTCGGTGGTGCCGTGTGTCCGTGTCTATGACGTGCAAGGCGTGTCCACCGGGGTGCCGTCCCCACGGCTGCCTTGGCAGGTGAGGAAGCTCGTTCTTGCTCCCCCCCCCCAAACGGTGTCCCGAGGATAGGGTCACCCCTGTGTGTGTGTGCGTGTGCTCGCACATGCGTGTGTGCTGCTGGCCTTGGGCTCCTACTGAGGTCGCGCTGTCTCTGAAGCTGACACCTCTGGCCTGTCTATCCGTCCTTCTGTCTGTCTGTGCCAGGCTGGCCCGGTGCCCCCACCCCCGAAAGCTCGGAGTAGCGAGCAGGGTGTGGACAGCTAGCTCGGGCTGCCCTCCGTGTCCCCTGCTCCACAGGCGAACCTGGCTGTGTGGCTGTCCATGATCGGCCTGGCCCAGTACTACAAAGTGCTGGTGGACAACGGCTATGAGAACATCGACTTCATTACCGACATCACCTGGGAAGACCTACAGGAGATCGGCATCACCAAGCTGGGTGAGGCCCCCGGCCCCGGGCTCCTCCGCCTTCTGGTCTCTGCCGCCCTCCCCGGCCTGACCTGCCCATGCCCTACCCAGGCCACCAGAAGAAGCTGATGTTGGCAGTGAGGAAACTGGCGGAGCTGCAGAAGGCAGAGTACGCCAAGTTCGAGGGGGGACCCCTGCGCCGGAAGGCCCCGCAGTCGCTCGAGGTGATGGCCATTGAGTCCCCTCCCCCGCCCGAGCCTGCCCCGGCTGACTGCCAGTCTCCCAAGATGACCACCTTCCAGGACAGCGAGCTCAGTGGTGAGCTGCAGGCTGCCATGACTGGCCCGGCCGAGGGGGGCGCCGCCGCCGCCGCCACCACCGCCACCACTGCCGAGAAGCCCTCCAACCACCTGCCCCCGACGCCGAGGGCCTCCGTGCGGCAGGAGCCCAGCCTGGGTGGACAGGCGCGGCACATGAGCAGCTCTCAGGAGCTGCTGGGGGACGGGCCCCCTGGGCCCGGCAGCCCCATGTCACGAAGCCAGGAGTACCTGCTGGACGAAGGGCCAGCCCCTGGCACCCCACCCAAGGAGACCCGGCCCAGCCGCCACGGCCACAGCGTCAAGCGGGCCAGCGTGCCTCCGGTGCCTGGCAAGCCGCGGCAGGTCCTTCCGCCAGGTGCCAGCCACTTCACACCTCCCCAAACGCCCACGAAAGCCCAGCCGGGCTCCCCTCAAGCCCTGGGGGGGCCTCATGGTCCAGCCCCAGCCACAGCCAAGGTGAAGCCCACCCCGCAGCTGCTGCCACCAACAGAACGACCCATGTCACCCCGTTCGCTGCCTCAGTCACCCACACACCGCGGCTTTGCCTACGTGCTGCCCCAGCCCGTGGAGAGCGACGCAGGGCCGGCCGCTCCCGGGCCCGTGCCTGTGCCCGCGGCCGCCCCCCCGCCCGTGCCCACGCTGTGCCTGCCTCCGGAGGCTGACGCGGAGCCAGGGCGGCCCAAGAAGCGTGCCCACAGCCTGAATCGCTATGCGGCATCCGACAGCGAGCCAGAGCGGGACGAGCTGCTGGTGCCAGCCGCCGCAGGGCCCTACGCCACCGTCCAGCGGCGCGTGGGCCGTAGCCACTCGGTGCGAGCGCCCGCTGGAACCGACAAGAACGTCAACCGCAGCCAGTCCTTCGCGGTGCGGCCCCGAAAGAAGGGGCCGCCCCCGCCCCCGCCCAAGCGCTCCAGCTCAGCCATGGCCAGCGCCAACCTGGCAGATGAGTCGGCGCCAGATGCTGAGACGGAAGGGGCTGGGACCGAGGATGGCCGGCTGGGGGTCCGGGCACAGCGCCGGCGGGCCAGCGACCTGGCTGGCAGCGTGGACACAGGCAGCGCTGGCAGCGTGAAGAGCATCGCAGCCATGCTAGAGCTGTCATCCATTGGGGGTGGGGGCCGAGCAGCCCGCAGGCCCCCCGAGGGCCACCCCACGCCCCGCCCCGCCAGCCCGGAGCCAGGCCGGGTGGCCACGGTGCTGGCCTCGGTGAAGCACAAGGAAGCCATTGGGCCTGACGGCGAGGTGGTGAACAGGCGCCGCACCCTCAGCGGGCCGGTCACGGGACTCCTGGCCACGGCCCGCAGGGCGCCTGGGGAGTCAGGGGGGCCTGCAGACCACGGCCACTTTGTGGAGGATGGGAGCGCCCGGCAGCGGTCTCGAGGTCCAGCCAAGGGAGAGGCGAGTGGGGAGGGCCCGCCCCTGGCCAGAGTGGAGGCCAGTGCCACGCTCAAGAGGCGCATCCGGGCCAAGCAGAGTCAGCAGGAGAGCGTCAAGTTCATCCTGACGGAGTCTGACACGGTCAAGCGCCGGCCCAAGGCCAAGGAGCGGGAAGCAGGTCCTGAGCCGCCGCCGCCACTGTCTGTGTACCAGAATGGCACGGGCACCGTGCGCCGCAGGCCGACCTCTGAGCAGACTGGGCCCCCGGAGCTGCCCCCGCCGCCCCCACCTGCAGAACCCCCGCCCTCCGACCTGATGCACCTTCCCCCGCTGCCCCCGCCTGACACGGATTCCCGGAAGCCAGCCAAGCCGCCTGTCTCTCCCAAGCCCATGCTGGCTCAGCCTGTTCCCAAGATCCAGGGCTCACCCACACCTGCCTCCAAGAAGGTGCCGCTGCCAGGTCCTGGCAGCCCAGGTAGGTGAAGGGAGCCAGCTGGGGAAGCCCCCCCCCCCACCTCCCCACTCCATGGTCTGAGGGGTTTTCCTCTTGAACTTGAGGAAGGCCAGGTGGAATGGGGTGGGAAGCACAAGGTGAAGACCCTTGCGCTCAGACCTCAGACCCTGTCATCCACCCACCCATTGGACAACACTGCCGACCCCAAATTGGGAGGAGGGTGGATGTTCGTCACCTTGCTCAGTGGATGAGGCACAGAAACCCATGGATAACAGCACCTGTTGGAGGGAAGACAGGTGCACGATGCTGGGTCACAGAGGACTCTGGGAGGCTTGAGAGTGACCAAGCTTGAAAGTCACCCCAGCACTAGAGAGAGGGGGCAGGCTTCCAAGCAGAAGGATCAGACATGCGAAGGCCCCGTGGTATTCAAGCAACCCAAGGGCCAGTGTCTGCAGCAGGCCACACCTGAAGGGGGATGGAGGGAGTAGTGTGCGGACAGAGAAGGGTCTGGAAGCCGGTGACCCGAGCAGATACGCATAGGGAAACGCGCCCCCTGGCGGCTGCAGGGAGCCGGGGCTCCGAGGGGCAGCGGGGTCCGCAAGCGCTGTTCTCGAGGGCGAGGCGGAGCGCTGCGGCAGGGCTCTCCCGCCCCCTGTGCGAATCTCCTCCTCCCCGCAGAGGTGAAGCGCGCCCACGGCACGCCGCCGCCCGTGTCTCCCAAGCCGCCGCCGCCGCCCACGGCGCCCAAGCCGGCCAAGGCCGCGGCGGGGCTGCAGTCTGGCAGTGCCAGCCCGTCGCCCGCGCCCTCGCCGGCTCGCCAGCCACCCGCCGCCCTCGCTAAGCCGGCCAGC